GAATCTCTCTGACTTCCTCTTCTACTGCTTCCAGCCTGAGAACATTCTCTGCTTTTAAGGCCTCATGTGACTAGACTGGGCCCATCTAGATAATCCAGGTTGTTCTCCCCATTTTAAAGTCTGTAACTTTAAAAATCACATCTGTACAGTCCCTCTAACACATGTAACATAACATACTTCACAGGTACTGTTCTGAGGACTAAGGCATGGATCTTCGTGGGGGCCATTCTGCCTAACACAGGTGTATAGAGAAGTAAACCAATGATTTTAATAATCCACATTGATAAATGTAAATAAGAGGAGGTAAAAAGTTGCAACGAGAGCAAGGAAAAGAGTCACTGAGCCCTTTTGAGGAGGTTAGTAAGGCATGTCTGGCTTCCTAAAGTGGGTAATCTCTAAATTGAAATGTGAAGAATTCACTCTGAATCAAAGGGTTAATGCTCCTGAGCAGGACTGTGCTTTGCAAAAGCTGGAGGGGGCTGTGTCTTCAGGACATTAGCTCAGGATTTCTGAGCAGGGGCATTTTTAGTAGGGTCTGGTAGGCCAAGCTTGTAGCAGGGCAAGGCTGGAGAGAGTAAAGCTCCTGGTGCTTAGAAGAGCTCAGGCACTTGTATTGAGCTCCTAATCTGTTGCCCATTTTCTGGAGCATCTGAGAGAGATGTGAACCTCTTTCAATTTGTTTCTGATGCTGCTCCTATTTGAGGTACTTTCCTTTCCCCATCTTTCCATTTTTAGCAGATATTATTTTTGAAATGGGGCTTTAAAGCAAAACTTTTTAGTTTTCATTCATTCACTTGTTACTTATTAACCTCAGAATATCTATTGAGTGCCTAACACATGCCAGGCACTAGTGCTAGAGGGATATAGCAAAGAACAAGGAGGAAGAGGCCCCTGCCCTCACCATCTGAATATATGCAAAATGGAAGTCTTTTAGCTGGAATCCACAATGTTTCATTCAGGACCCTGGAAACATCTGCTCAAAACCTGTTGCTACATGCAGACAGAAAGAGTGGAAGCCAAAAGAACAGTGACATCTATCACTGATTGAGAACTAAGTACTTTGATACTACTATCGATATCACCATACTACCCATGAGGAAACTGAGGCACAGAGAGGTTTACCCAACATCACCCAGCTAGTAAGTTGCAAAGTTGGCATTTAAATCAGGCATCCTGACTGCAGAAGTTGCTTAGTCAAGCACTCCAATAAGTGGGCTTACATGGCTCCCAGGTACCAGGCATTGTGCTAGGGCTTTGTGGAAGTCTTGTTATTGAGTTCTCCTAATAATCCTACCAAAGGGTGATTATTTGCAATTTGGACACGCAGAAATTGAGGCTCAGAAAAGTTAATAGCCCTGGGATACATAGACAGTGAATGTCTGCATTGGGATCTGAGCTCTTACCTTTCCCTTTAGGATGGAGGGTATATGGGAAGAGGAATGAAGAGTCAGGGGTGGTGGTGCAGGGAGAAAGGAGCCAGTGAAGGAGGGAGGGAGTAGAGGGAGAGCAAGGAGTTCTTCTCAGGGTGGGGTGAAGCAGAGCAGATCAGATGCTGGAGGTTTGAAGGAAAGGCTTTGGGGTGGCATCAGGACATGTTAATGTAGGAAGAGCAGTTTTCTGTGGGGAGTTGTGCTCAGAAGCCAGATTTCAGAGCCCCCCACTAAGGAGTGAGTGGTCTAGGAGTATGCAGAGGTCCCTGTGTCAGGCAATGGTTCTTTCCTGAGGACATGAAAGAGCGAAGGGGGTCCTTTCAGCATGGGGGAACCCAAGCCTGTTTGTTGACAAAGGAGAGGGAAGTCCTTAGCCAGAGCAAAGGGAGACCTTGTGTGAGTGAGTGAGTGTGTGTGTGCAGGATGCAGGGATTATATCCAGAGCATGAGAGGGCTGTTCTCAAGGAGGAGAGGCCCTCTTTTTCCAAGATCAGAAGAAGGAGGGCAAGTGGGTAAATCTATAGAGAAATTCTTAGTCAGTACAAGAGTGAGGTGATGGGGTGACCTGCAAAATGGGGTGCCACCACTGTCCTTCATATCTCCCCATTGTGATGGGGCTGCATTAGTTTCCTGTGGCTACCATAACAAATTACCATGAACAGAGGGGTTTAATACAACTGGAAGTAACTCCCAGTTTTGCAGACTAGAAGTCCAGCTGTTGCAGGGTGGGCTCCTTCTCAGGCTCTGAGGGAGATGCATTCCAGGCCTCACTCCCAGCTTCTAGTGGTGGCCAGCAATCCTCGGAGTCCCCTTGGTTTGTAGATGCATTACTCCAACCTCTGCCTTTGTCTTCACATGGTTTTCCCCTCTGTGTGTGTGTCTGTGTCCAAATGTCCCTCTTTTTATAGAACGCCATTGGTTTAGGGCCCACCCTAATCCAACATGACTTTTTAAACCTTGATTACATCTGCAAAGACCCTATCTCCAGATAAGGTCACATTCATAGGTACTGGGAATTAGGGCTAGAACATCTTTCAGAGGGACACAATTCAACCCAGAATAGGACACAAAGGAGACAGTGTGTGGGAAGGTGCCCTGAGGGGTATAAAATGCTACAGAAATACAAGGTCACACCAAGGTTAAAGGAATCCCCACGCTGAAAATGTTTATAAGGTAAACCATTTCCTCCAGAATTTATGTTTCACAAACCCAAGTTTCCAATAAAGGGTTTGCTGAAAGTAGTGTCTATCACTGCATAGCTCCTGGGAGAAAATGCTCTTAGAAAAAGGACTCCCTCACTGCTTCCAAGGAAGGCTTACAGGAACAAAACATACATGCTCCCCACCATTCTGTAAGATGTTAATGGGAGACCGTTTCTCTGCCTCCCTCCTTCCCCCTCCTGTCTCAGGTACCCTTAAGATCAGGATTTATGCACAGTTGGTTCTAACCATAAACCAAATTAGTCTCCAAGTTCTCTTACTCCCCCCTTCCCCCTTCCTCCTACCTGCTAGATTCCTAATTAATCCAGCTAAAAACAGAGGTCCTGTCCTTCAACTGTGTCCCGAGGGCGGAAGCGTTTGCAGATGATGATTTAGGCTCTGCAGTTGCTGTAAGGGAAGTGGTGGCCAGAAGGGGGACCCACCTCTCAGGGGCAGGACAGGGAGGGATAGCTAGGGACAGGTAGGGAGCCTGTCTAGATTCTTGTAATTATGCAATAACCAGCCTTCCCCTTACCTAGAACATCGCTCAACAGTCAAGCCTAGACATCTCAGCAGGGAGGCTTCTTGAAAGAGTTTAGGACACCATTTTGGAGTCCATTTTGCATTATGGAGGCCTTAGAGTCTGATCAAAGCTATGAACCCACATCCCAGAAATACATATGTGTCACAAAACAGTTCAGATAATTTCAGAAGCTTCACTGACACCCTTGAGCTTATTATTCATGAATCCAAGGCTAATAACCCCTGATTGAATACACTTTCCAACCGTGTTTTCCTCAGAAAACTGAGATCAGACAGGGTAATTGATTTGCTACCACATCCTGCAGCTATTTAAAGGGAAATCTAAAACTGAAGTGAAAATTCTGGTTCTCTTATTCTGAACATCTATATATAGAGTTTGTTTCCATTAAATTAAAAGGACTCCTCCGCTTAAAGAAGCATAATCTTGAAGAGAACTTTGCTTTTGGGGGTGAGGAGAGGAAGTGGTAGTGATGGGGGTGTAAGTGTCAGTAGAAAAAGCATCTGTGGCCCCCAGGGCTTGTAAATGAGATTTACTCATTCCAATACACACTGCAATGGTCCAGGGATCCCACTTCATACTAGTGTGGTAGTGCTACTGAGAACAGTCAGTTGGAATTCAGGCTTTTAAGGATCTCCTGCAGCCCAAAGGTTGAGTAATATGTGTCCTCAAATGGCTATAAATGGAAGACGTTCTTGAACTTGGAGCTGGAGTGTAGATCTTCATTGAGGGCATCAGGATACAAGGTTTTTGTAGCCCCTTAATTTTTGTTCTCCTGAAGCTAGCTAGAATGTGGGGATGACATCTAGGGGCGGGGAGCGTCAAAGAAATCAAAGGCTACACCGCAGACCCCCACCACTCTCTTCTTCATCCCACAACACATCCCCAGCTCCTCCCAACATCCAAACCCCTCTAAGCTCTCAGGACCAACCAGTCTCAAATAGGGTTTAGGGGAAAGATGGCAATTAACTGAGATTTAGGGGATTGATTATGTTGGGAAATTACGTAAATTCCTTGGGATGGGGACGTCTCACAGATTCGGAGGTCTTAATTTGGAGATGTCCAAGTTTAGGGGAGCCCCCCTCAATTGTTTCCAGGCTTTATTTTCGAGGTGTCAGATTAGAACTTGGACTGGGGGCAGGGATTTGTTTGAGGATGTCTCCAGTAGTTTGGGGGTGGCCGTCTGCCTGGCCAAGGGGGCTAGGGGTGCTGGCTGCATCCCGCGGTTCCCCTAAGTCTGCGTCCCGCATCACGGGCAGCGTCTGGGTCTCGAAGACCCGCAGAGCAAGCCAGCTAGCGCGCTGTCCCCGCCTTCAGGCGGGCCGGGGGCGGGGAGGTGGGGACACCTCCCCTTCGACCATCCCCTCGAGGCCGGCAACTCGGGCGCTCGGAGAGTCGCCGGCGGCGAGGAGAGAGGGCGGAGGGGCAGGCGGGCGGCGGCGGCTGCGGCTGCGGCTGGGCTCGGGCCTTGGCGGAGCGGGCGGCCGCCGCGGGGCCCCGGAGAGCCGGACCGGGGCGGCCGCCGACCCGGCCTCAGCCGTCGGGGGCCTCGCGAACACGCCTTGGCTACTTTCTGCTCGGAGTTGTGATCTTGTCTGGGGGGCGGCGCAGGGAACGGGTTTCGCGGCGAGCTCTCCCGTCGGGCGGGAGGGGGAGCGGCGGGCGGCGGGCGGCGCGCGCCCAGGGGGAGGGGGAGGAGGAGCATGCCCGGCTGGAGCCGGGCCTCGGGGCGCGCCCCGGCCGCCGTCCCCACCTCCGCCTCCTCCGCCTCCTCCTTCTCCTCCTCCGTCTCCTCCTCCTCCTCCTCTTCCAGTCCCGCCGCCGCTGCAGCCAACATGGCTGCGCTCCTGAGCCCGGGAGGCGGTCGCTGCTGAGCGCCGCTCGCCGCCCGGGCCCCCAGCCCGCCCAGGCCCCGGCCCATGGCCCCCGCGGCCCCTCGGCTCCTGGCGCGCTAGGGCTGCAGCCCAGGCGCTCGTCGCCCCTAGTCGCTTCTGGGCACCTCGGCGCCGCCGCCCGCTCGCGCTCCCGCCGGCCTCGGGGAGCCCGGGAGCCGTCCGGCGGGGCGGGGCGGGCCGCCACCATGGAGCCCCAGCGCCGGGAGCTGCTCGCCCAGTGTCAGCAGAGCCTGGCCCAGGCCATGACGGAGGTGGAGGCTGTGCTCGGGTTGCTCGAGGCCGCGGGAGCGCTCAGTCCCGGCGAGCGGCGGCAGCTGGACGAGGAGGCGGGAGGCGCCAAGGCGGAGCTGCTGCTTAAGCTGCTCCTGGCCAAAGAGCGAGACCACTTCCAGGACCTGCGGGCGGCGCTGGAGAAGACGCAGCCTCACCTGCTGCCCATTCTCTACCTGAACGGCGTCGTGGGGCCGCCGCAGCCAGCCGAGGGCGCGGGTGAGTGTCAGAGCCCCGTCCCGGCCTCTCGGACCTGCCTTACACGACTCCCTCCAGTCTCCGAGGGTGAATTCTCGAGGGCCGGTCGGGCAGAACCATCCTTACTTTAGTCCGCCTGGGAGGGGGCGTTGCATGGAACCCTACTTAACCCTTTCTGCCCGGAGCCCCGCCGTTGCTGTGCACGATGCTGTGCACCACAGGCCTTGACCCTCCCAGGTGCCAGGGCAGCAGGGTCCTCCCAAGGTCACCAGGTCCAACCACGGGGGCGACCTCGGAGTGATGTTTCCCAGTCCTTTTTCTAAGGCTCTTCACTATCCACCAGTATTTGGGGAGCCCCTGCTAGCCTTTAATCAGTGATAACGGTGTAGAAGAACGGAGCCTAGGCCAGGACCATATTCCTGAATTTTGGTCCCTGCTACCCAGTTGCAGGACCACTGGGACCTTTTCACTCTGGCTCTCTCAGTCCCTTTGCCGAGAGCATAGTCTATCTCCTTGCCCAGATATATGGTTGATTATGCACAATGCCTGCTAGGTTTCTTTGGAAACTGGGCCCAGAAAAGTTGGGGAAGTTGCATTGCACCATGGGAAAATCCTAGTAGTGACTGTTGAGGCTCAGATCCCTCCTTGATGGTGCTTAGCTGCCTGAGGAGGGAAGGGCTGGTGGCTGGTTCCCCTGGGTGGAGAGCTTCGGGTTTGTGAGTATTTATGTGTGTGTACCGGGTACAGCTGGGGGCTTGTGACCTAGCCTGGGGGTGGAGTTGGAAAGCCAGCCTCCTAAACGGGGAAGGGCAAGAAGTCATAGCCCTGAGGAAGGAAGAGAACCAGCATTTATTAGGCACCAACTGTTGTGGCGGGTCCTCTGCTTTTTCACATTTAATTGTTACCACTCTGTGAGCTGTTGCTGCTTTGCCAGAGAGGAAACTCTGGCTTAGAGTGGTTAAAATGCTCAAAGTATTGGGCACCAGGAGTTTTCAATTATGATTTATTGTTTTATTTAACATGTTTGGAGCCAGGAAGCAGCAAGCGCTACCTTTTCTATGTCTTGCCTTTGTTTTAAAAGTGAACTGAGGGGGCTGACAAACTGCCCTTAGCAACTTGCAAGTTAGAGGCTGATGAGACCCATTTATTTGGCTGTTAAAAGCCTCACTTACAGTTTTATAATCTGTTCTTGGTAACAGTTCTGATGTATATTGAGACTATCTCAACCTCACTTTATAATGAAGGAAGTGGACAGACAAAAAGACTAACCTGCTGGCTACATAGCACAGCATTTCATTAGCAGCCCTTCTCTTTCCACTTTGGGTTTTGACTCCAGCATTTATGTCCTTTAAAGCTGCATTCTGTCCCCCCAGTTACGACCATCCCCCAATGATACCTGAGCTGCTGGGCAAGGCTGGTCCCCTCCTGGGTTGGCGTTTTGGGAAATGCCAAGAAGGCCTATCACATTTGGCCTTGAGGACAAGGACAGAGGGAAATCTCATCATTTTTTTCCTTTTTAATTGTCTCTATCTTTATATTTTTAAAGGAGGAAGTTTTCAAGGAAGTGCAGCCATTAGAGTGCAAACTCAAGTTCTTATTGAGATGTGTTTGAAAAAGCACAAGCTTTAATCTCTGAAATAGGGTGAATTGCAATTAATTAACCCCCCGCCTTTTCCATGCTTATTGGAGAAGGTGGGGTCTCATTGGGCAGATAGTGACTTCTAAAGAAGGGGTGGAATAGGGTTTGGAATTTATCCCTGAGGGTGGTGGTTTCAGACCTTAGTTTTACTGAAGTACAGAATTCCATGGCTTTGCAGAGGGTCATGAAATTCTCAGAAAAATCATTTTCAAGGAGAAGTTAAAAATTCATTTTAGTTAATATTTTAGAAAAAAAAATTGATTTGCATTTGGTATGGCAAGATAGAGCTTTTCGTGGAGAGGGGTGGTATGTTGTGCAAGTAAATAATAGGGTGTTGGGATCTTTGTAAAGGGTGAATTACTATACAGTGGCTTCCAACATTTTTTCTTCTTTTAGCCAGAGAGCCCTTAGCTGAGTGCATAAAAGAGCCACTCCAGTTGAAGGGATGGAGGCACCTGTCTGAAGAGCCAAGGTCAGGGAAATCCAGCACTGCATCCTGGCCCATTGCTCTCCCCAGTAGTTTCCACTCTACACGCAGTTCCCCAGTTCCCCAGCTTTGCCTCTACGTCGATCTTAGTGCAAGACCCTGTGGAAGCCTGAGAGAGGAACCAGCTGGCTTTTCAAAGATCACAGCATCAAGGGGTGGCCCTTTGTTGCCATGTCTACATTGGAGGTGCTGCCATCACCCTGTTAGGGACTTCTCGGTGGATCCATACCCCTTGTAGGCTCCTGGTCCAGAGTGACCATTGCCTGGCTGGCACTTGTGCACTGTAGGAGTTTGCTGTGCTGCAGGTGAACGATGGCTGGCAGTCCCCAAAGTGGGGCCTGCAACTGAGTGAAAACTGGCCTGGGTGGTACAGGATAAGTGAGCAAGCTAAACCCATCTTTATTCATTCTCAGAGCCCCAGATGTTTATAACCCACTATGCTTAGGCCAGGGGTTTGAAGGTGACTAAGAAACACAGAAGGCTGTTTCATTTTGGGGGTGTGGGGAGATGTCTGTTCCAGGATTGATAGCACGTTGCTGCCAGCCTTTTATAGCTTGACCTCATATGTATTTCTGCATCTCACTCAATTCTGTGGCAGCTCTGGTCAGGTGAGTGCTGTCTTCTCTGTGTTCTGCACCCATCTACAAGGTGGAGGACAGACAAGTCACAGGGCAGACAGGAGCCCGAGTGTAGGCCAAGCCCAGTGTTCCTGACTGAGGGCACTTTTTCCTGTTACCTGATTAGGCCTTCTTCTACAGTTTCAAGCTATTTCCTGCATCGGGAACTCTGTGGAATTATGGGATGCGTAGATCTGTAAGGAATAAGTTATCACCGTTGCCCCACTGGTCGTGGTGAGAGGAGAAAGCTCTTATTCTCTTCTAAATGGCTCAGATCTGTTGTATTTTTTCCATAGTTGTACCAAAGATCTTCTTTGGTTACTTGGAGACCACTCAGTCCTTTGTTTATTTCTCTTTGATTCAGTTGCTAACATCCGAGTTTCCTCACTTGTTGCTCCTTGGCTGCCTGCCCCTGGGGTTAGGGCATTTTCCTGACTGGGAGCCTCCGTGTTTTCATCTGTGAGATGGGTCTAAGGGTGCTAGGCTGCCTGCCTCAGCCAGTGAGAGGGAAGAATATGACTGGGGAGAACTGAAGTGCCTGGTCCCGTGCTTGACCCAGACCGAGATGGTGCTAGGATGAGATTCCAGCCTGCAGCTTGCCGTCCAGTTGGGGGAATGGGACACTCGGGAGTGACGTAAGGAGACAGAGCAATTGAGTGGTACATGTACAAGTTTTTTCCTTTCTTTAAAACTCTGTATACTATGTGCTTTCCCCACATACTCTCATCTATCTCTAGTGGCTCTAATTACCATCTGGTGTGGAGGGCCCCCCAAACTATTCTATTCCAGGCAAATGGGAAAAGTGACAGAACATCCTCGTCCTTTCCCTCTACATGTTCAGATGGCTCCTTCAACAGCCGCCTCAAGCTCTGGTCCTTCTGCAACACCTTCCACGGCTTCTCCACTGGCCCTTTCTGGTGTGCTCAGAGCTGAATACTTCCTTCTCATCCCCCCTCTGCCGCCTCTTTAGTTTCCTAGCAAGCTGGCTGACTTGGCTTCACCACAGTTAAGAGAATAGAGACAGCAGTGTCCACAGAGAAGCCTTGGAAGGTGTTGCAGAAGGACCAGAGCTTGAGTTGGCTGTTAATGGAGCCATCTGAATGTGCAGAGGGAAAGGAGGAGGAGGTTCTGGGCAGTAGACACAACAAAAGCAGAGGCTTAGGCGCGAGAGGGACGGTGTGTTTTCAGGTTGTGGAAATTAGGCCAGCCTGAGTAGAGCCCAGGATCGATATTGGCTCTGGGTGGACGGGGATGCATGCAAAGGTGATCTGGAGGACCGCAGTGGCTAGGCTGTGCGAGAGGTTTGGATGGCACTGGCGATTCAGACATTGTACACTCATCTGAAGTTAAAGCTGGGGAAATTCTTTTTTTTAAAGAAATAACCCTGCCAGGCTTTTTCAGCAGGACAAATGCACTTGGCTGCTGTTTGTCAGGTGTGGATTATTTATTATTCATTGGAGGTTACCTGGACCTTTTGTTCTCTCTCCCTGCTCCCTTTGAGTAATCCACCTTTTCATCTACACTGCCCCGGAGGGTCAGGTACAGGGACAGAAGTAAAAGCTCCAACCATTGTAGTTTTCTTTTGGTTCTTTTAATTGTTTTATTTGAGAGGAAGTGGTGGAGGAATTTGGAAGTAGTGGTTGAAAAGAGGTTTCTAAGAGAAGGGCAGATTTTATTGATCCTTCTATTGTATTAGTTCAGGGCACCTTTATGGCAAGCAACAGTAACTTAGCTCAAACCATATTAGGCAGAAAAGAGAACATGATTATATATTCGAAGACCTTGGGGTTGGGGAAACTGGCCTTTGGATGGTTGATCTCTGAAGGCTGTGGCTTTTCCCATGCACCTGGGACATATCCTCAGGCCCCTCTTCATCTTCACAGCCTCTGACTAGAGAATAAAGGGAGCTCTATCCTCTCATCCCAGGCAGGAAAATTTATGGAAGGATTTCGCTTGGCCTGATGAGGGTCGTGTGTCCAGGTGAGGCCCAGTCACTTGGCAAGGGCAAGAGGACTAAGAGTGGCCCAGTAGTGGACCCAGTAAATAGGGTGTGTGATGAGAAGCTGTGATTGGCAGCCCATGGCAGTATCATGTGGTCCTTCAGACTGGGAAGAAGCAGTTCTCCAAGGGCAGAGGAGTAGAAAGGATGTGCAGGTGAAACAACAGATGAATGTCCACGACATGCGGCCCCGTCTTTGGTGTAATGATACACTTAGCAGACGAGGTCATTGCTGGAGTGAGGTGGTTGGGAGAGGGGGTCAGACTTTACCAGGTTTTA